CAGCAGAGGGAATGGAAGGTATGAAGGCCAGAGTAGAGCGCTACACTGGAGGACTACCAAGTGAGTGAGTTGAAGGCCACTGGAGCGTTCTAAGTAGGAGAAAAGAATGACCTGATTAGACCCTAAACAGACCACCAGACTATGCTGGAGAGAATACAACCTACAGCACAAGGGAGAAGCGGGGAGGTTCATTAGGATGCCTTCAGAGTAATTCAGCTAAAATACCAGTGGCCAATCACTCCTAACGAGGGGGAATTTTTTTTTTTTTTAAACAGTCTTCAGGAGATCTCTAATAGTATTTTCTAGTCTGCAACTCATTCCAGTGGTGTCAAGCTCTGTTGGGGCATTCTCCTCTCATGTGTCACCAAACTCTCCTTGCAGCCCACATTCTCATTCTTTTCTCAGTGAGACTCTTGTGTACCTCGGAGCCTTTTCTTTAAGTGGGCCTTATCATGATTTACCCACATGTTCAAGTGAATCCTTCAACAGTGGCTTATTTTGCTTTTCAAAAAAGCAAATGAACTTGGGACCAGCAGTTAGCGTAATGACTATGTTGCTGCATTACTACGTAGTCGACCATGGTTCGAGTCCCAGATCTGGTGATTTAAACTCACGCTGGGCGCATGTGCGTGCATGCCCAAGATCCCACGAGGAGAATGGAGGAGAAGGGATTGCGGTGTGGCCATCCCCCCTGGAGGGTGATTTCTCGCTTTCTATCTCTCTGTCTCTGTCTGTCTGGCAAGTGTATGTGCCCTATAGCAAAAACCTCTTCAGAAAAAAAAAATAGGCAAATGAACTTTTGAATGGAGGCTGTTATTAGATAATTGAGCACTAGCAACAGGTGGATTGAGTATTTTGCAACTCACATATGGTATGACCCTGGACAGGTCATGTGATCTTCAGGGGTCACACTAATCCCATAGGCTCTTCAGTGGTAAAGGATTTTAAAGCATCATATTTATGTGTGCCATTTTGCAGCTAAGACCCACTTTCACCTCCTCACCGTTGGATAGTAGTACTACCAGGAAGTCAGGAGTAGACCTAAAGTGTTTCTTGTCTGTTGTAAAAAGGCCCTCCCTGAGAATACACAGAGCAGAGCTGAGGCTTGCCTCTCTGCATCTCACCTCCAGTGAAGAAGTAACACACTTCATGAATTTGTTTACCTTACAATAGTAAATAATAATACAGGTGTATTCTCCCTGAATCCTGCAGATGTCCTGTAATTTATCACATGCCCTTTAATGTATGGAGATCCTTGATCAGCCGAAAAATAACACTCATGTGTTTAAAATGAGTGATCCAAAAAATAACAGCATGAGTAGGAGACACATTTACATGTAATTAGCAACTGCACATGCACAGAACTATTTATATGAAGGCCTTGGATGGGTTTGCTACATGTTTAAGGCACATGAAATATTTTAAGCTCATCCATTTGCCTGGTGGTATTTGTGATGGTTAAAACCATAGGCTGTGGAGCCCTTAATTTGTCCTCCAGTTCTGGCACTTGCTATGTGTCACACCTGGAGAAATTTACTTAACAGCTCCAAGACTGTTCATATATTTATAAAATGGAGATTAAATTTATCATCAGGTTGTTATAAAGGTTAAATCCTTGGGACCAGCAGTTGGCATAATGGCTATGTTGCTGGACTCACATGAAATCAACTGTGGTTTGAGTCCCAGACCTGGCAGCTTAAACTCACACTGGGTGCATGTGCATGCATGCCCAAGATCCCAAGAGGAGAATGGAGGAGAAGGGATTGCGGCATGGCCATCCCCCCTGGGGGGGGGGAGGTGATTTCTCACTTTCTGTCTCTCTGTCTCGCACATGCGCCCTATAACAAAAACCTCTCAAAAAAAAAAAAATCCTTAAGCTGAACTTCTATCCCATACTGGGTAGTGAACAATGATTGCTATTATTTTTACTGTTGCTGTTTAAATTAGGTATTATGCTTTGTTAAGCATAGTAATTATCACTATCCTTAATAAATTTTGTTTAGCTTTATAATTTGTAAAGAATTTTCAAATACATCTGAGTTTAGGAGTCCTATGAAACAGACAGAGAAATAGAGATTGTAATCACCATTTTTTTTGAGTGAGAAAACACAGAAACAGCAAAATTAAGTGACTTGCTGAAGACATGAAACTTCTGAGTGGTTGAGTTGGGTCAATAATATTTAAATCCTTTGGGTCTACCTCCAGTTTTTTTTTTTTTTTAATTTGAACATTTTTCCACTTATGTTTTTGACTGTCATTTGAAATTTTTAATTTATTTTTGTTCTTGGACCATAGTTGCTTGAATAAAAGCTCATCCTTATCAGCCTTGTGCTGCCAGGCTGGGACTGTCATTGACCCATCTAAATGCACTGAGTGGGGCATACTTGGACACTGTACTATAGGCACCATCATGCTCTGCTTTTTTCTGTTGAGTGAGGTTTTTTATTTCACTCTTCTCTCTCCCTTTCAAGAACTAATGATGAAAAGTGCTTGTAATCTTGTCATCTCCTCTGTCAGCAGAATTTACCGCCTTGCCGTAATTGTTCTGCAGTACGCTCCAAAAGAGTGAGGAATGATCAGAGAGGATTGTCTCTGTCCACAATGAAAGTACAACCAGTTATTTGAACTGGGTTCTGCCCACCCTGCCTTTATATTAGTTAATTAAATATGGAAACAAAACCTTTTCCTTCTCCCATTTTTTTTAACATGTCTATGAATGAAAACTGAGCATCATAGATGACTGAGTGAATGTTAAAAAGGTTGATGGCAACAGAGAAGGAAAAACAAGAGTGATACTACTAAAGCTTGGGAAATTACTAAGCATAGCGTGATATTGGCATGAAGGACCCCATTTTATGCCTGTCTGACCGATCTCAAGGCTTCATCAATAATCACACCTGATTAATTACACCGAGGAAGCCAAAGAAGCCAGCAGAATAAAAATGTGCTTTTTTGGACAAAAATGGACAACTGCATCCTTAGTACTGCTTGTGGTCTGTTCCTTTCTTTTGAAAGAGTCCAGGGATCTGATTCCACTCCCTGCCGAAGGGAGTTTGTAAAGACCACCACCTTTCAGGCTATTAGCTGTTGAACTGGGAATCTTACACTGATACAAGGTGTCCTCTTTATGCACCGACCTCTCCAACTCCCGAATATGTCCCAAGTTAACAGAGCTTGATAATTTAGAGTACATGATACAAACTGCCTGAAGTAGAAGCCTTTGAGCACAGTGTGAACTCTCATGCCTCAGTTTCCCTACCCATAAAAATGACAATAGTGTTTACATCAGAGACACTATTTATGCTGCTAAAAAAATCTAATACAGTTAAGAGAACTGCATGAGTTTACTATAAAGCACTCAGAGAAAATAGTGACAGAAACTAGCATTTTTAAAATATTTATTTATTTATTTATTTATTTATTTTGAGAGGTTTTTGCTATAGGGAGCGTGCACTCGCCAGAGAGACAGAGACAGAGAGACAGACAGAAAGCGAGAAATCACGCCCCAGGGAGGATGGCCACGCCGCAATCCCTTCTCCTCTATTCTCCTCTCAGGATCTTGGGCATGCATGCACACGCGCCTGGCGTGAGTTTAAGCCACTGGGTCTGGGACTCGAACTGCGGTCAACTATGTGGGAGTTCAGCAACATAGACATTACGCTAACTGCTGGTCCCAGAAACAAGCATTTAATGAATGTTATCTATTATTATTACTGTTAAAGGAGAGGAGAATATTGCTGTTGTTCCTGGGCTTATGGATTCATTCTTACCTTTTCCTCAACACTGAATTTATAGATTAGAAAGGGTATTGATCTAATTTTCTTAGCCCCAGTTTTTACCTAATTTGTAATGTAAAAACAAACAAAAAAACTACAACAAAAACAACTAATAAAGAGCAATGTAGGCCCTTGAGCTACCCTTTCTCTCTCCGCTAGGGCTCACTCCGACCTCTCAAGAGTGTACTTTCACTTTTACTTAATAAAATATCCTTTGCTTTAGAAAATAAAAAGGAGCAATATATTTGGTGTTGGACACAGTTGGGTATTAGGTCTACATACTTGCTCTGTTGCTGACTAAATCTAAGACATCCTGTATATTGTTTAACTTCTTTAAACTTTGTTCTCATCTCTAAAGAAAGAATGAGTCCTCCTTTGTAGTGCTGGTCTGAACAAAACTGATATTATGCGTGAAGGAGTTATGTAATCCTTAATGGCTATATGGTACTCGGTGCTGTTAAAAACAACTTGTTGAATGTATTGAACTCAAATTTCTAAGTAAGAAGAATGACAAACATTTAAAAAATGCATTTTATGCGCATGATACTCCATATAGAATACATTACTTAATCTTCATAATAATCATGAAGGTAGTTGTTGTTTGCAATGCCAATTTACAGAGGAGAAAACTGAAGCTGAGAGAGCTAAGACATTGCTCATGGTCACACAGGGATTCATATTTCTCAGTCTTGACTGTAGAATCTATACTGTCACCTATGCACTGTGTGGCTCAGTGCCCAAATCAGATATTTCATTAGGTTTGGCCATTGACCTGGCAAGTCTTAATCCTTTTTCTTATTGAGAATAGAAGAGCTAGAAAAAACACAGGGGCACTAGAGAAGTACAGGCATAATTTATGTTGTTGATGGTTATTTTCTACTTTCCATAAATTTGGATGGGTAGAAATAATGCACAAGTATCATTTTCTTAAAATTAGAAAGCATGGCATAGCAAAAGGTAAACTTAGACTTGCCACACCTGCAGGAGGAAATAATAAAGTTTTCTTTTTCCAAAAAGATAAATTAGGGTGGCTTGATTTTCCTGACTTTATTTCAGCTAATACCTACCTATGTAGCTAATCCAAGATGTAAGACATTATAAGTAATTTCCTGGGGGGCTATTTATTTAGCCTTTGCAATGAGCATTATGTGGCTAGGGGTAGGGTGAGGGTAATAAATTTAAAATATGCTGATATTCTATTTTTTTTTTCCTTTTTATCTTTAGACCCCAGAAGAACTAGAGGACGATTCTGACTTTGAGCAGGAAGATTATGATGTGCGTAGCCGAACAAGTGTTCAGACAGAGGATGACCAACTCATTGCAGGGCAGAGTGCACGGGTGAGTGGATATCTGGGGCACTGATTTGGTGTACAGGGGCAGTGCTGACCAAAATGGTTCAAGGGATTTTATGAACTCTAAAGACTTGGGAACTCTGGGAACCAGCAGTTAGCATAATGGCTATGTCGCTGGATTCCCACGTAGTCAACTGCGGTTCGTGTCCCGGACCCGGTGGCTTAAAACTCACACCGGGCACGTGTGCATACGTGCCCAAGATCCCAAGAGGAGAATGGAGGAGAAGGGATTGCAGTGTGACCATCCTCCCTGGGGGGTGATTTCTCGCTTTCTGTCTCTCTGTCTCTCTGTCTGTCTTGGCGAGCACACGCGCCTTATAGTGAAAATCTCTCAAAAAAAAAAAAAAAAAGACTTGGGAACTCAGGTTCATGACTTAGAAATCTGTGTTTTGGGGGACCAGCAGATGGTATAATGGTTACATCACTAGACTCCCACACAGCCAACCGTGGTTTGAGTCCTGGATCTAGAGACCTGGAATTCACACTGGGCACATGTGCATGTGTGCCCAAGATCCTGGAAGAAGAATTGAGGAGAAAGGATTGTGGGTGGCCTTTCCCCCCGGGGGGTGATTTCTCTCTTTCTGTCTCTGTTTCTCTGGTGAGCTCATGTGACTTATAGCAAAAATCTCCCTTAAAAAGAAAAAGAAATCTGTGTTCTCATCTGGGGTTGAATTAATTTATATTTTACACTGTGAAAATCACCACTGCCTGATGGCTCTTGATTCCATCTAATTCCCTTTTATTGCTCGCTTTAAATATATTGTAGAAGCCATAGCAAAGCCAACTCTTATGTGTACAATGGGTTTTGTTGGTGTTAGGTATCATGAGTAGACAGTAAGCAGACAGAAGATGCTTCAGTGTTCAGATTTTGCATTGACACAGTTACCATTTTCTCTTGAAATCTCCAAGCTTGCTAACAACTCAAGAGGCAATGACAAATGGAGCATCAGAGTACTGCCTTGTTATTGGCTGGACAATTGCTCCAGTAACTTTGCCATAGGTTCTGTAGTATTCAAGACCATATCTTATATAAAATTGGTTCAAGGCCATTAGATAAAGAAAACTCTTTTCTGCCACCCAGTACCTATTTATGGCTGGGGCAATAGCCCTACATCTGTCTGTCATGTTTTAGAAAAAGAAATTCCAGAGACATACTGGGAATGTACCAGTTTAGGCCATGGAGCAGGAAGCAGCAGAGAAGCTATAGTTCTACCTGACATTTTAGTGTGCTGTGACACTGTCCACCAACACAAGTGGTTCAAAGAGCATCCTGGAATTGGACCAGATTAGCTGTGCATCCCGGATGTAGGTAATCAAGACGGGTGATAGGGGATGAAATACCTTGCAGAAGAGGGTGAGATATTCCTCACATGAAATACTCAGTTTGCATAGAGTTAAAAAAAAATCAAATTATGATATCACTGAGAATTAGATATTTTAATTCTGCAAGTTAAGTTTACTTAAGAGAAGATAATGAACAGGAATCCTTGGCAATAGAGGTGGCAGTTAGGATGAGGATTAGGAAATCCCAGAGAGCTCACATTACTATAGGAATTGTAAAAGAAGAGTACAAAAAACAATCTATCAGAAATTAAAATTGGATTTGAAAGGGAGATGTTGACCAAGAAAGATTTTGTACCTAAAACCCAAATTCTCTCATGTGCTTTATGTCCTAATTTTCTAGCACAATCAAATGATAGAGAGAGATGGATGGACATTGAGAAGAGAAATTCCATAGTAAAATTTAGAACCTTAAAGACATTTATTTTAGGGACCAGCTAATGGTGTAATGGTTTCATTGCTGGACTCTCAAATAGTCAACCATGGTTTGTGTCCTCTAACCCAAAGACTTAAAACTCACACTGAGCGTGTGAGTGCATGTGTGTGTGTGTGTGTACACAAAATCCCAAGAAGAAAACGGAGAAGAAAGGATTGCAGCATGGCCATCCCCTCTGAGAGGGGGATTTCTCACTTATTGTCTGTCTCTCCAGTGAGCACATGTGCCCTAAAGCAAAAATCTCTCTCTAAAAAAACAAAAAACAAAGACACTGGCTTTGATTTCAGACAAACCAATGTTACTCATAAAGGGTAGAGTTAGGACCATCCTCAAAGTTATGTGTTGCTTGGAACCAGCAGTTGATATAATGGCTATGTCGCTGGACTCCCATATAGTCGACCATGATTTGAGTCCCAGGTGCATGTGTGTGCATGCCCAAGATCCTGAGGAGAGAATGGAGGAGAAGGGATTGCAACATAGCCATCCTCCCTGGGGTGATTTATCGCTTTCTATCTCTCTGTCTCTCTCTGTCTTTCTGGCGAGCACACATGCCCTGTAACAAAAAACCTCTTCAAAAAAAAAATTATATGTTGCTTAATTTTTCTAAATTTGAGCCTTATAATCTGTAAAATATGAGTAATAGGCTTACTTTATAGAATTCTCTTAAAGATAAAATTACTTAGTATTTATGAAATAATGGGTAGATCAGGTGACATACAGTAAGTGCTGAATAAAGAATGACTTTTTAAAAATTTTTTCTTTTCCTGGAGAGGTTTTTGCCATAGGGCGTGTGCGCTTGCCAGACAGAAAGAGACAGAGAGACAGAAAGCGAGAAATAAACCCCCAGGGGGGATAACCACGCCACAATCCCTTCTCCTCCATTCTCCTCTCGGGATCTTGGGCACACACGCACATGCGCCTGGTGTAAGTTTAAGCCACCGGGTCTGGGCCTCGAACCGCAGTTGACTACATGGGAGTCCAGCGACATAGCCATTACGCCAACTGCTGGTACTAAGAATGACTTTTATAATTATCATCCTTTGGTAGAAAAATCTCTTCTGATCACATGATTATAGTGACTGGAAAAAGTACATAAAAGAGCACATAACCTTTACTTTGAAAATTCCTTACAGACTCTATTCCCTCTATAACATGTTGAAAATGGGGAAAATCATCAAGTTGAAGATCTTTTGAGGTTGTGTTACATAACCCCAAACTAATGAACCAACCAAATCAATTAATCTTCCAAATGAACTAAAACCAGCATTTTTATGTCAATGGAAAGGGACAAGTTTGAGTAATTCATCCAAATATTAGTCAAATCAAAGCCAATTTGATTGACTAACTGTAACTAAGTATAGATACAGCCCAGTGTTCATTGACTAGTTTTCTTAAACACTTAGACATGTTGTGTGGCCATTATCTTGCTTTATAGTCACCATATTATCCAAATAACATAATCAGTCTTAGTTTTTATAAGGAATAGTGTCCCAATGTACCCATTTCATGAATCTTTCTTACATTCGACAGTAAGTCAATGATGATGAGTGGAAATAAAATTGAAATAGCTCCTATTTTTATTGTCTCTTCCTTTCTTCACACTATTGTCTTTTTAAAAGGGCTTTCCAGCATGATTATGAGTGTGGTCCAAGATAGTAAGAACAAAGTCCTTCTCATCCAGCACTTGCTAATTTGCCTTTGAGGTCCTCCATGTGGTCTGTGTGATTAACTTGCAGCAGACAGCATTACTTATTGAGTCAGCCTATTTTAGCCTGTAATTATATGATGACAAATCAGAGACATAGAATTATGGCTGTTAAGTTGGAAATAAGAGGGTACTTTGAATTGCTGAGATGATAGATGGTTGAACTTTTGACCAGAAAAGTGTGATAAGTTGGTCAAAATTGTGGAGGAGGCAAACTTTGCCTTTGACAGAAGCATTTGCTCTTCCCAGCAGCCAGTTCTCTCGTTAATGGACTTATTTTGGGTTTGCATTCAGATAAATTCTTCCTCTCCAAAAATGCTAAATTAATCTAAAAGGAGATTAAAGTGGGAGATAAGCTTTTAGTATCATCCTCCAACATTGCTTTTAAATTCTATAATTGCATTATTTCTTATTTCCTTTATATGTCCTTATCTGCTACTCCTCTACCACATGACCAAAAAGGGGGGGGGGAATTGTTAAATTAAACTATTCTGGCCTAAAACAGCCATTGTACTCCCACACTTTGGTTCCTATGGATAAGTCAAAATCATACATGTTGGGCTGTTTTTTGAGCTGGTTGCTAGGTCCCAACCCATTACAGCAGCTAGGCTTCGGTCAATCACAGGCATCCTGCCTTTTAAATCATATTCATGCAGACAAACGTCAGAATGTAACCAATGATTTCTCTACCTCACTTCCTCACTGGCGTATTTTGTACGACACTTTCATGTTCTACCGACTTAAATGCTAAGCTGACCTCGAGACTAGTTGGAGTTGTCCGGAAGTCTGGGGACAACTTCCCAATTTAAATCATATTAAGATTTGCTCTATTAAATCTCTTTTCTATTAAATTGGTTTATTTTTCTTTTAACATATAACAGGGAACAGGAAGAGTACAAGAGAGCAGGAATGGGAACGGGAGTGAGAATGGAAATAGATGGTGGTGATCTGGTAAAAGATGGAGTTGATTTACCCTTAATTATAAAGGTTTTTAAAATGTATTTATTGTTTTCTTTCATGAGGGACCCAGAGACAGACAGAGTCAAATGTCCTCAATAGGATCTTACCATGCTATGATCCTCCCCCCAGCCTTTCTAGACAACCAGGACTATGAGTATCATCCAGAATCCAGACCTGGACCCCATCTGGCTCATGTGGCACACAGTGGCACCCCTACTGCTTGTGGCAGCATGACTGTTCCAGATCGTACCCTTTGATCCTAGATGTGACATCTTACAAACTGTTTCTTTCCTTTTTTTTTTTTTTTTTAAATGTTTCTTATAAAGAGTTAATATAGTTCAAATTTGTCAGTGACAACTTTTGGACACTTAACCTTGGTGATAAAATATTTTATTTAGAGTCACCCAGACCTAATGTTCCATCTGGTCACGCTGAAGCTGTGGGCAACTCTGTTAACCTCTCCATGCCCCATCTCCTTGCAGATAGAAGGGCAATACAGAGCATTCTACCTCATTAGGAGAAATACAGAATAAAATGTCTTACA